TAAGGGACTTGATTCCACATGGTTCAAAGTCCAGTCCCAGTGGCTTGAAAACCATAGTAGACTCATTTCCATGCACATCCCAAACCCCCAGTAGGATGACAGACGAAAAACGAGGGATTGCAGCTAGACCAGTGCCACTGGGTGGGGCTGCTTCCCCCTTCTCTGACTGTGCTTACCTCCCTCTGACAAGCACACACACCCTCTGTCAATTAAAAAAGAAAAAAAAGAAAAGAAAAGCACAGAAGTGGACAAGAGAATCTGGTGCTCTTCTACTGAGCCTGATACTAAGGAGAGATGCGAAACTGTAAAACAATGCTCTTTTTCCCACCAAATGTTTTTGTTTCAAAAAATATATTTTCTCATCAAAGTATTATTTATATTAGCATGGAATGGATTTATTGTTATGACTCATGAGGCCAATGAATGCAGTCTTTCAATTTTCGGTTTTAATATCTGGTGCCATTCATACTACCAATACAACCTACCTATAAACATAAGGTCTGAGGCAAAAATGTTTCAGAACTGTTCTAAAACGCCATGGCTCCCCTTCCCCAGGGTCAGGTAAAACCCACCCCCATCACCCTATACCTCCCCCGGCCTGATCTAAAGCCACTTTAGGAAAACATTCCCTAGGGCAATCAGGCAGGGTCCTCCCTTTCCGCTGAAACTGCCCTTTTTCTTCAATGGAGACCAGGGCTGGGGTTAGGTGGGCAGAGCAATTGAGTGGGCGGGGCAAGGGCGCGCCTGTGGGCGGGGCCTACGCACACCACAGGGGGTGGGGTGGGGCAGGGGGTGGGGTGGGGGTGGGGGTGGGGGCGTCCCAGAGCCCCTTGCTAGGAGTCGGCTAGCTCCTCGCGTGGCATTCTGGGATGCTGAGCCAAGACTGGCTTTGATCAATGCGACGTCGCCAAGTCACAAAGTGCGCCTCCCTGCACAGACCCCAGCGGCCGAGCCTTCCCCTCGCTCTGGCGGCACAGTTCTGCCCGCTGAGCTCCCCTACCCAGGCACGAGGCCTGCGGCCCTCCGACATGGTGGACTACTCCCAGGTGAGGCCATCAGGAAGGCGTACCGCAAGCTGGCCCTCAAGTGGCACCCCGACAAAAACCCGGAGAACAAGGAGGAGGCGGAGAAGAGATTCAAAGAGGTGGCCGAGGCCTACGAGGTGCTGTCGGACGCCAAGAAGCGGGACGTCTACGACCGTTATGGCCAGGCCGGGGTGAGCGGAGGCGGCGGCGGCGCGCCCTTCCACGACCCCTTCGAGGACGTCTTCAGCTTCCGCGACCCGGCCGACGTCTTCAGGGAGTTCTTTGGTGGCCGCGACCCATTTTCCTTTGACTTCTTCGGAGACGCGCTTGAGAACGTTTTCGGGGGTCGAAGGAGCTCCCGGGGAAGCAGAAGCAGAGGGTCAGCACCGCTTTTCTCCACCTTCAATCAGTTTCCAGCTTTTGGAGGTGGTTTTTCCTCTTTTGATCCAGGATTTTCGTCCTTTGGCCCCCTGGGAAATGGGGGCCTTTCTTCCTTCTCCATGTCGTGTGGGAGTGGTGCGGCAGGCAGCTTCAAGTCCGTGTCGACTTCCACCGAGATAGTTAACGGCAAAAAAGTCACCACCAAGAGAATCATTGAGAATGAAGAATCTATAAACAGTACATGCCAGCACCTATTCTTTGTTACCGTCAGAACCACACGAATAGACTTCTTTTTGTCTTTAAAATTGTTGTAAATATCTGTATGAATTTTGCTCTTTATTAAACTTAATCCTGAGGCTTACGACTATTTCATAGTGCTAGGAAGAAATGCTCATCACAGCACCTTGAACATTTTTCTATTTGGAGCACATATCAGCCAAAGATTTGAGTGTCTAATTAGGGCCATTAGGTGGCAGGGTCATTAAGGCATCAAACTCCCAAATGGGCCACTGTGGTTAAATTCTCAGCCCTGGTGGCTTGAAAATCATGCTGGGTATGTGTGCATGCATTGCCAAAATCTCAAGGGGAGAATGGAGAAGGCATTGCAGTGTGGCCAACCCCTCTGGGAGAGAGTGATTCATTCCTGCCCATTCTCCACTCCAACCCACGCCCCTGAGCACATGCACCCTATGGCAAAAACCCAAAAGGAAAAAAAAAAGATTTGAACGTTATTAGTAATACTTCAGGTTAGCAAAAATAAACATGACTTTTAGTTGCATGTAAGTGCTTGTGTTATAGGAAGAGTGGGTTGTTATTTAAATACCTTGAACCTAGGCTTTCTATTTAAATTTGCCAGCTGGCATGTGTACTCAGCAGAGACAGCAGAAAAATGGCAAGCATCCCCTCGTGACTGTTCACACTGCAGTCCCTTCTCCATAGAGTTTTGGGCACATGCATCTATGCCACCAACTGGTCCAATAATCTTTTCCTTTTTTAAATCCCACTTTTCACCTATCCAACTGGTAGATTTTCTTCATTGAAGGGTACTTTATCCTGAAGGGCAACTGAGCTCCTAACCCTCATACTGATGGCAACCCTCCAGATGCAGTTGGGGAGCATTGTAAGCCATGGTTTCAGGGTGGTAGTGCCTGTAGAACCTCACCTCCTTTCCTCCTTGATTCGTCAGTCCTTGGGCCCACCCTCAACATCATACCTGCACATCTCTTTGACTTTTTGGATTTTTTGCTTAGGACGTGTATGGGAGTAGGGGGAGGAGAGAGAGTGAGAGGAAAAGTGTGAAATCACCTCCCTTGGGGGCGGGAGACATAGTCACACCGCAATCCCTTCTCCACTCTTCTGGAATCTTGCACATGCAAGCCCAGGTGCTCAGGTGTGGTTTTCTAGCCACAGGGTCCATAACTTGAACTGCGGTGGGCCTTGTGGGAGGGCCATGTGGGAGTCCAGCAATGTAACTGCTGGCCCCCTCTCTCTGGCTTCTTAAGGCCCCTTTGTAGCCATCTGGAAGTGCGGAGAAATTAATAGCACCTGGAGAAGGTCTCAACCCATCACTGACAGGCACATGCTCAAATACCATCAGCCACACTCCTGGGGAGGGATGGTCTGGCTGCTCTCCCGTCTCCAGAGTGACCCAGCAGCTCCAGCCTGAGTTGCCCATAAGAGAACTTGCACTTGGTGGCAAGTTTCACCTTTCTCCTTCCCCTACTCCCCTACCCATGCTTTTCATCCCTCCCTAATAATCTCCTAGCCCCTGAATCTTCACTCAGGGGAACCCAAACTAGGAGGACCTGTCATTTGTTTTGAAATCCTTTCCAATGGAAATTAGCTTGATTGTGTGTGAACAGTTAGCTATTAGGACATTCCTAGGCCTTTCTTATTTTTAAATTGCCAGAGGGTCCATGCACTTACCAGAGAGAGAGAGAGAGAAGGAGAAAGCACCCCTCAATGGGGCCTTCATTCCGTAATCCCTCCTCCATTTTCCATCCTGTTGGGATTGGGGCAGGCACACACACAGACGGGCATGTTTTTCAATCTACTGGAGCCAGGATTTGAGCTACAGTCAGCCATATGGGATCTATCCTTAACCATCAGGATATAGAGCCAACCAAAGGGAGACCTTTTTTTTATCAAAGAAAAGAAAGGGGGAATCTTTCTAAAGGTCTGTTTAAGTTCTGGCATATCAATGCAGTAGAACACCCCTTAGTCATGAAAAATGAGTGTTACATAAAACATTGGGAATGGGGCCAGCAGGTACCTGGTGAAGGTATTGAGTGTCACATAGCTGACTCTGCAGTTCAAGTCCTGGACCTGTCAGCTTGAAAAGCACACCAGGCCTGTGTGCAGGCATGACTAAAATCTCAAGAGGACAATGGAAGGAACCATCAGTTAGTGTAATGGCTATGTCGCTGAACTCCCATGTAGTCGACCATGGTTCGCGTCCCGGACCCGGTGACTTAAAACTCACGCCAGGCGTGTGTGCGTGCGTGCACAAGATCCCAAGGGGAGACTGGAGGAGAAGGGATTGCAGCATGACTATCCCCCTGGGGGGTGATTTCTCACTTTCTGTCTCTGTCTCTCTCTGTCTGGCTGGCGAGCGCATGCGCCCTATAGGGAAAACCTCTCCAGGAAAAAAAAAAAAAAACAGGACGATGGAGAAGGAGTTGTGGCATGGACATCCACCCTGGGAAGGTGAGATCGTTCTCCCTTTCTATTTCTGTCTGGTGAAAACTCATGCCCTACACGGAAAAAAAAAATTCAAAGAACATTCACAATACAGTGATGTGGAGAAAGAACATCCCAAAACACTAGGTATATTTGGTATATCTAGTAATTTACATATCTGTCAAAATTGTAATCATGATTATTTCCAGACACAGTGACTGCTAACAATTTTTCTTTTCTCATGTGTGCACGTGTGAACGTCTGTATTTCTCAAACTTTCTGTCACCATTCTACGTTACTTTCACAATTAAAACATGCAATGAAAATGAAGAGAAAAACACTAAGAAATATGATTCATATGACTTTATTGATATATTTTTTAGCCGTGGGTAACAGTAGCAAACATGCATGTGCCCAGCACTCTACTTCTGATTTTTAGCAAATTCAGATCCACTTGACACAAGCAATAATTATCCTCTCGAGCACGTCATTCACCAATTTAATAGCTTTATTCATCTTCCCTAAAGCCAGAAATCATACACCATTCTCAAGGACTCTGAGCCATATATTCCTTCCAACTCTACGCCGAAGGTACAAATGTTTCCTTCTTTGAACACACAACCTAGAACCTTTGAAACCTGAACGTAAAGGTGGATCAACCATTATTGAAGGCATCGTTGACCACGACAGTCTGGAGAAGCCTGAGCATGACGTGGAAATAGTCATCCAGAGTGGGGGCCACATGCCATGGGACCACCTTCGAATCCTGTGCACCTGAACAGGCTACAGTTCTAAGACATGCCACTCTCAGGGCCAGTCCTCTATGCAACAGAGGTTAAAGACAACAGAGGCGCAGAATACATAATGAGATGTCTTACCCTACAGGTGTGACCAGTGATTAGATTATTCTTTTAAAAATAAAAAAGGACCACCCCGGGGCCCCAGCCGTGGAGACGCCCGGGGACGCCAGGTTAATGCCAGGAGCCACCTGGGCAGGTGCGGTACAGCGGCACCTGTGAGCTTGGCTACCTGGGTGGCAAGACCATGTCGAGAACACCCACACCCCATTAAAAACAAAAAGAACATTCAAAAGAATGCTCAACTTTTGGCAAAGCACTTCTTTAATAAGAATAAAGTGAATTTAATACTGATTCTGCTTTCAGGTTTCAAACTGACCAGGGTCTGGATCAAAATGTCCCTTATTTCCCAATTTTTTTTTTTGAGAGGTTTCTGCTATAGGGCGCGTGCGCTTGTCAGAAATACAGAGAGAGACAGAGAGATAGAAAGCGAGGAATCATCCCCCAGGGAGGATGGCCATTAAGCAATCTCTTCTCCTCTATGGACCTTGGGCATGCACACACAAGCGCCTGGCGTTAGTTTAAGCCATCGGGTGCGGGACTCGATTGTGATTGAATACATGGGAATTCAGCAACATAGCTATTACACTAACTGCTAGTCCCGTTCCCACCCACTTTTCAGTGTGCCTTGGATTTGTGGCTTTTCTTCGCCCGCCCTTTTTTACCGAAGCATTTCCGAAAGCCACAGGCACAGATTTTAAAGGTGACGAAGGCCACCGTCAGTGCGATGGCCAGGAGGAAGCCCATCACATCCAGGGAGTGGTACTGGTACCAAGTGAGGTCGTGGGCTGCAGGGCGCAGGTGGGGCGCCCCCTTGTGCCTCATCACGAACTCCACCCAGAACACAGCCAGGTCCAGAGGCTCTATGGGCCGGTCCTTGTGAAGACTGGAGAGGCGCATGATGTTTTCCTTGTAGCTAAACACAGAGAGGGTCGTGTTAGTGGAAGGAGAAAGAAGGGAGGGAGCGAGACCGAAATTCGACATTGTAATTGTACTAAATTGTAGTTTATTTCTTCCGTGAGAGACAGAAAGAGACAGCGCCCCCAACAGGTCTTGAAGTCACAAACCACACAGCCTTAGCCAGGCTAGATCACCAAGACCTGAATGCCTGGGGTGGGCGGGGAGGTTCAAACTCAAACCTTCCCACGTGGGTCAGCCTCACGGACCATGTTACCACTGTACCACTGGTTCCCAGTTCTACACTGCCAAACCTTGCTTCTTCCTTTCCTTCTTTTCTTTTAAATGATATCTTTGAGAAGTTGGATACAATCAAAGAAATTTTGGGGGAAATCAAATTATACTTTGTTTATTCTTTTTTTTTCTTTTTTTAAGAGTTTTTTTTTTTTAGAGGTTTTTGCTATAGGGCGCGTGTGCTCGCCAGACAGACAGAGACAGAGAGACAGAAAGCGAGAAATCACCCCGCAGGGGGGATGGCCATGCCGCAATCCCTTCTCCTCCATTGTCCTCTCGGGATCTTGGGCACACATGCACATGCACCCGGTGTGAGTTTTAAGCCACCGGGTCCGGGACGCGAACCGTGGTCGACTACATGGGAGTCCATCAACATCACCATTACGCTAACTGCTGGTCCCTATACTTTGTTTATTCTAAAAGGAAAGAAAAGATCATGCAAATTGTGAATGGTCTCTCATTTAAAAATACAAATCACACCTGGCCAAATAAAAGTCATTTTTAAATGCCAATTCTAAGGTGGTCGTATTCTTTCAGTCAAATTTCTGAAATACATCAAACTTTCTAAGGACTAAATTCTGCATGAGGCTGTGTCTATGCAGCCTGCTTATGCAAAGTGGAATCCTGTTTATGTTGGATGGTGTTGACAGCTGAACCAGGACATCTAAATCCAAAGTGGGTTAGACGTTTCAACCCATAGTGCAGATTTACTAGAAGAAGGTAGAGAAGGGAAAAGAGGAGGCGATTGAAAAGAAAAGGGAGAGCTGAACAGAAGACAGTCCTATTCAGGGCCAGCTAGGGTCTCTGCGGTCCTTAGACATATCCGTGATGTTTATTTGGATACATTGGTATAACGTCATATAATATTTGGGCATAAATTCTATTAAGCGCATTCCTTTTATATAAATCTTCTCTTAAGATAGATCCTCTTAAAACTTTCAGTCATTCAATAGTTATTGAGCACCTATGATGGCCAGGTTGTCTCCACAAACTGATGTTTGAAAATTTTTATTTCACTTAATTTTGTTTAGGTGGTTGTTTCAACTCAGAGGGCTGGAACCATGGAAATTCACAATCAGGTAGAGATGGCTCATAAAAGGAAGAGATAAAGGATCTGCAGTTAGCCTAATGGCTATGTCACTGGACTCCCATGTAGTCGACCATTGTTTGCTTCCCGGACCCGGTGGCTTAAAACTCACACTGGGCACGTGTGTTTACATGCCCAAAATCCTGAGAGGAGAATGGAGGAGGGATAGTGGCATGGCCTTCCCCCCTAGGGGGTGATTTCTCACTTTCTCTCTCTCTGTCTCTCTCTATCTGCCTGGCAAGGGCATGTGCCCTATAGCAAAAACCTCTCCAAAAAAAAAAAAAGAAAGAAAGAAAGAAAAAGAAAAGGAAGAGATGAGCTAGTTCATAACGAAATGTGATTAACTGGTGTCTTTAAAAAATACAAATGTAGGGAACCAGCAGTTAGCGTAATGGCTATGTCACTGGACTACCACCTAGTCGACCGCGGTTCGCGTCTCGGACCCAGTGGCTTAAATCTCACGCCGGGCACGTGTGCGTGCATGCCCAAGATCCCGAGAGGAGAATGGAGGAGAAGGGATTGCGGCATGACCATCCCCCCTGGGGGGTGATTTCTCGCTTTCTGTCTCTATGTCTCTGTCTGTCTGGCGAGCGCACGCGCCCTATAGCGAAAACCTCTC